ACACACTTTGTGGCTCACTAGCTCGAAACTAACAGAATAATAAATTACACAGAACTCAAAGTAACTACTGCTCTCTGTTCATTAACATATATTTGCTGGCTTTCTCTGCCAGGCTTATATACTAACAAAGAGAGCATCTCAATCACACTCGGACTTCCCCGATCATTCGAGAAAACCAGCGTTACGTGACTTCTGCTGTCGTAACACTGCCCCTTCTTTAGTATTGTTCCTCTTGAACAATAACCACTTACATTAAACCAATAGGTAATTAACAATAACTTAATTAAATGTACAGAATTTACAAACACAAAATTAAAATACAACAAAGTCTCTTAATTTTATAGGACGTTTCTTCTTTCATACTGGTGTTTGTCTCATTGGGTTCTGCTTCACGTGGGATTCATCTGCTCCATCCAGAAATGTCCCATTATTGGTAGCAGTCACATTGGTGGTAGTAATTTCATTAATGGCTTCACTGTTTTCCCTTTCAAAACTGGGTAGAGTTTCTTCTTCAACAGTGGCTTTTTCAGGTGACACGTCTTCAGCAGCGTCATTTGTTCTGTTATTCATTTCGTTCCAACTGAAATATCCTGGACCATGATAATGCCAAAGCCTGTTGACATGCACCACCTTTGGCTTACCTCGCCGATCACATTGTATTCAGAAAGTCACGTCTGAGAGACAATCCACTATGTCATATGGGCCTTCCAATGGAGAAGACAACTTAGGAGACTTCCCTTTGGTCTTCCTGGGATTATACAACCACACCTTGTCTCCTTTCTTTATGGTTGTATTTCTTGCCTTAACATTGACTAGCTCTACCTCCTGGCACACATCCAACAATGCCCCTTCCTTAAGTGTCTGCTCACATCTAGAGAAATTAGCCATTGTTATGGGTATTACTTGATGACCTGGCACAAGTGACCTTCCAATCTTCACGTCTGCTGGACTGGATAGGTCTTCCACAAGCATCGGGCTTCCTTGTGGATGTTCTTTTATTTTACCCCAAATTATCTTCTCTGACATAGAGGATATTGTAGTTGACTTAA